TCTTTCTTTCTTTCTTTCTTTCTTTCTTTCTTTCTTTCTTTCTTTCTCTCTTTCTCTCTTTCTCTCTTTCTCTCTTTCTCTCTTTCTTTCTTTCTTTCTTTCTTTCTTTCTTTCTTTCTTTCTTTCTTTCTTTCTTTCTTTCTAGTCAATTGAGAAAACTGCCTCCATAGAATCGGGCTAGAGGCAAGCCTGTAGGCCATTCCTTAGAGATTGATGGGGAGAGTCCAGCCCATTGTGGGTAAGAACATTTCAGGCTGGCTGGCCCTGGATTCTGTAAGAAAGCAGGCTGAGCAAGCCATTGGGAGCAAACCAGTAAGCAGCACCCCCCCCCCACCCTCCTGCCATGGCCTCTCTATCAGCTCCTGGCTCCAGGTTAACCCTGAGTTCCAGTCCTGCCTTTCTTCAGTTCCTTTAATGGTGAGCAGTGCTGTGGAAGTGTGAGTCAAATAAACCCTTTCCTCCTTAACTTGCTTTTGGTCATGGAGTCTCATCCAAGCAATAATAACCCTGATTTGAACAAAAAAGTCTTTATCTCAAAAAAAAAAAAAAATTGCTTGTGTCAGGCATTCTAGTCTGGGCAACAGAGTTGAGACTCCATTTTTTTTGGGGGGGGGAAGACCTCACGTGTGTTTCCTTTTTATAATTTATTTCTTTTTCCACAATGTGGCCATGTCCCCACTGGACAAAACTGGCTTCCATGTTACCACCAGCCCGAGGGCTTAGAGGTGGGCTCAGGAGTATTCCATTCAGTGCGGATTGCTTCCCAGAACTTGGGCAGACGACCTAAGGAAAGGAACCCATTGCCAAACAGCGAGATCTCTGGCAGCTTTACCCCTGACCTCTGAGGCATCTCAGCGGAGAAGCTCTGGTTGTGAGGCCTTTGTGGGGAGCTCAAGCCAGCGCAGCCATACAGGCACTGCAGGCTATCGGCGGCTGCTGGGGCAGAAGAAGGGACCAAGCTGCTGTTGGTTGGGTAGGAAGTAGCGGTGGTGGTGTTAGTGTTCGGCGTAGAGTAGCTGCGGGGTGGGGCGGGTTCTGGTTCTAGGTAGAGTGAGTTGGCAGCTCGTTCCAGGTAGGTGGCGGCCAGCTGAGGCAAGCTCAGCGATTTGGGGTAGCTGCTGTTGCCGAAAACGTTGGTGGATCTGTCCAGGTAGCTGATGCCTCTGATGAGCTGGTCCAGGAAGGTAGGGCTGGAGGGGCATGATGGACGGTCCATGCAGAGCAGGCAGTGGGGGCTGCTGCTGCGGTAAGTGGGCTTTTTGACCACCTTAGGGCCTCTCACCAGATGGCTGGTCTCTACACACCTGGAGTTGTAGGGCCGGCCCATGCAGATTCTCCCTACCGGAAGTCTTGGGGAGTCAGGGTTCAAGGACTGCTCGGATTGACCGGTTTGATCGCTGGAGGTGCTGAGCTCGGAGCTGCTTGGGATACTGGTAAGCAGGCCCTTGTTCGCACTGGACTGCTGGGTCCAGCCTGGAGTTCGAGGAGGAAAGGAAGAATTGCTGGGTTGGCTCGAGCGGTTGTAAGTGTTGGATCGACTCACCTGGCGTCCAGACATCTTTCTAGCTGGGTCAGGTTTCTGAGTGTGACTGTTTGGTTGGTTACCTGCCAAAGAGAGAAGTCCGGTCAGCTTGGGCTCCCGATCACCTCCCTCTGATCTTTCTCTTCATGGCGTCCTCGGCTTACCCCGCCCCTTTACTTCCAGGCTCAGGACTTCTCCAGAAAGTACAAGAGAAGGAGGAAAGGGATGAGGGAAAAAAGCAGGGCCATCAAAATGATGATGATCTGATAAGCCAACAGAAGGTGTAGAGAGGGGCTGCTCCCCAAGAAAACATAAGGAGCAGCAACTTCTTTTGAACCCACAATTCGCAAACTCAGAAGCAGGGACCCCAGGATATCACAGAGGCCAAATGGCAGATTCCCCTGATGTTGAATGAACGAGAGACCCTAGAAGACACCGAATAAGCTAGCCCACCGTGCTAACCAAGACCCCTCACCAGACCCCAGGGCGGAGATTCACTCTCTGCACTCTGTTCTTTGCCTCCCAGTGTCTTACATGACTCATTTATGCTGCACCATAAGGAGGAAAGTAGCACTCTACTCCCAGTCGACTGATGCCCCTACCTCCCAGCACAAAAGAGACAGAGTTTAAGGGCAGCCTTGGCCATGTAGCGAGTTCAAAGCCATCCTGCACTATGTGAGTCTCAAAAAATTCCTGCCAAATTGTTTGGTTCTCATATTCTTTGACAGAGTGAGATTTCTTCGTTTGCCCCACTTGGAGTTCCCACTCTTTCTGGTCCTAAGGTAGGCATACTATGGAGGTTAAAACCTGGCTTGTCCTGACCTATTCCTGGGTAATGAAGTCCCTGTAGTTTCCTTTTACCCTGTCCTTTGGGTCTCTAATCCTGACCAGCCCCTTCAGCTCTACCAGGAGTCTCCCCCACTACTGCCAGCCCGCCTGACTTCTGATACTTGTCCAGTGCCAACAGAGCAGTATGTAAGTCCGCACCAGCCAGAAAACAGCTGCAAACCCCTCTCCCCACCCTGGCCCCTCAGCTGCCCTTGTCTTTTCGGTCTAAAATGGGTGGAATGTCCTGGCCTCTTCCCTGCCTGGCCCAACCCTACCTCATCCACTCCTGTAGAGAAACAAGAGACAACTGAGGACTGCTTAAACTCAGGCCTCCTTCCCTTCCTGGTCTGTGGGACCCCCTTTTGCCAGCCATAGGGCCAGCTCCTCTCTTACCCTGTCTTTTAGGAGGTAGATGACATAGACCTCTCTGACTCTCCACTGGGGATACCCTCAATCTGCCACTCCAGACTGCTGGGCATGTCATAGAATCATAGAATTCTGAGGCAGGGATGGCCTCCGGGAGTCATTCCGGCCAGGTCCCGGCCTCAGGCAGGAACTATTATGAACCTGCCAGGACAGATGGGCCCTATTTTTGAACCCAGACTAAGGTGGCTATTTTCCAGTGTTTTTCTTGTATTGAATTGCTAGCTCTGACACAACTCTGGCTGGCTGTATTCAGCATCAGTTTCTTTTCTTGTTGGGCAGACACATGCTGGTCTAGCCTCCTCCAATGGCTGTCCCTTTGGGGACTCATTCTAGGAGACTGAGAGCAGTCAGCAGTTCTCCGTAGAGTACCTGCTGTGTGTCAGGCCTGGGATAGAGTGTAAAGACGTCAAGGACAAGTCTCAGTGCTCCTTTCTAAGCCCCGTGTCCCTGACTCTGTCTGGGTCCCCATTACTCCAGAAAGTGGGTTTTGAGTGAATGGCCCATGTCCTCCCTTGAGACTTCATGGCATTTCCCAGAAAGAGCTTCTTTCCATCCCATTTTCACCTCATGTTGAAAATACAGTTTGGTTCTGAATGGGTCAGTTAAGTTTCTGACTGAGGTGTGGCAGTGTTTGTGCATTACGTGAGCCTGACAGAATCAGGTCAGCTCCGGCTCCCTGCCCCCTCCCTTTCATCTTTCTCTTCATGGGTTTCCCCTGCTTCCATCTCCACTCTCCTTCCAAGCTCAGAAAGTACAGATGAGGAGGAAGACACGACTATCAGAGTGTCCAAGGCCTGATTAAACATGTTCTTTTCCTGTTAAAACTTGTGATTTCAGCCCTGGTGCCACAGAAAACAAAGGGGGGTGGGGGTGGGACTGAGGCCCAGATCAGTGATAGAGGGCTTGCAAATCACATACATACAAGACTTGTGTTCAACTGCCAGTATTAGAAAATCAATCTCTGGCACATACAGTATATACGTGTGTGTGTGTAGTATGAATAATATATATACTCTGAGTATGTATATATAATATATACTCTATATGTATATATAATGTGTATATTATATGTTATGTGTATATAGTGTTTATGTAATATGTACTCTATATCAAATCATGAAGATAAGGAGCTGCCGCATGCCTCCTTTGTTTTCTTTTCTATGTGTGCTTTCATGTGAGTGTGCACCTGCCTTGGTGAAGGTCAGAGGCAGCTCCCTGAAGTCACTTCTCTCCCTTTCCCATGGGAGCTCCAGGGATTAATCTTGGGTCCTCTGGCTTGGAAAGCAAGCACCGTTATTCATGAACTTTCCTTCTGGCTCCCATATGTGCTCCATTCAAATCCTCTAATTAAACATTACTCCATACTTAGCGCTTAAGTCATGCACTATACATCACTATGCTGAGCAAGTTGCAGACGACAGCAGCTTTTATCCTTGATGGCCTCAGTGTGCAGCATCTCTACACAGGACACTCCCTAACCCCTCCCAGGCTCTGATCCAGGTTATTTAACATCGACCCTGAACCTTTATCCAATAGACACTCTATTGTGGACCACCATCCTTAGAGCAGAGCAGCCATTACCTTAATCCAAGAGACCCCAAGATCATTCCTGCTGATGTTTCCTCAGAGAAGGAAGGGGCTAGGGAGAGTCATTGGACGCTCCCCCAAGATTTCAGTCACCTGCTCCTGCCCTCCTCCCAGCTGCCTGTCTGTCCCAGGGATACGCGGATGTGGGAGGGGCCAGAGCACACAGAAAGCAGAAGGTGAGCTAAAAGCTAACCGAAGGGCACCTTACAGATAGCTGTGGGGGGTCACTGCCAATGCTGGGGTGAGATTTTTTAGTGGCCTGGCTTGTAGGGGGTCACCCACGCCCCTATCGGTCACCCCTCTCCCATGCTTCTGTAAAAGCCAATAAACTCACTGGTTCACCAGTCCAACCTCAGCTGGAGTTGTTGCTTTCAGTTTGTCGTTGGTGCCCTATCTAGGGTGGGTGACATTTAAGTCTCCCCGGGGGAAGTTAACCCATTCATTAACCCGATTTCACCATTTGCCCCTCGGATGTTCATCCTGATCAGAATGCATTCGGTTCTCATGTCTCTTTAGTCTCCTTCAGTCTGAAAACCTCTCTCTTCCTCTCTTCCTGTTATGTGTTTGTACATGTTTGTGTGTGTGTGCATGTTCGTGTGTGTGCATGTTCATGTGTGTGCATGTCTGTGTCTAAGTGTGCATCTGTGGAGGCCAGAGACTAACGGGTACATGTGTGGCGTCGTCCTCTATCACTTCCTCCTTCACATTTCTGAAGGCAGGGCATCCCACTGAACCTAAAGCGTATCCATTTGGTAAGGCTAGACGGCCAGCAAACCCCGAGGATCCCCTCCAGTGATGCATGCTGGGATCCAGACCTCAGGTCCTTGTTCTTGCAAGCTCTTCCCTGACAGGGGCATCATTGATGGGACTGAGGGTTTCAAATAGAGCAGAATAGTTATTGGCAGGATGTCCTCCACTTTGGTTTAGCCTGTGTTTCCTAATGACAATGATTTGTGTATTGCAAATCACTGTAGCCCAGTGTCCTGGTTCCTCCTCAGTGTGCAGTTGTTGAGAATGAAGCACCTTCTTCCTCTGGGTGGGAGTCAGCTAAGCAAGGCACAGAGATGAGGGACACAGAGGTGAAGAACAGTGTGGGGAACTCGGTGGAAGGGAAGTGGTGTCTATCAATCTCTTTTGAGGCCTGAGCCAGAGTTGGGTGCAGCACTGGGCTGGGGGCCGGGAGGGGCAAGCAGGCGGGCAGCCAGCTCAGGGCTGGGCCTCTGGGCTGTTTGTCCGGATGGTATCCAAGCATGGAGATCACTGGCCGTTTCTGGCCTGAGCACAGGAGCGCTGGAAATAGCAGTAGGATTATTTCGGGAGGAATGTGCTGTTTCTCCATCTCCCCAGAAAGCCAGGCCATGTCCCAGGATGATCAGCAAAATCCCTCTATGATGCCCCAACTCTCTAAGACCTTCAGGCCAGCTGGTGACCCACAGAGACCTTCAGTCAGAGGCCAGCTGATGAACTAAAAACCTGCTTTGCAGATGGAAGAGTAGTCCTTTGAGCTGCTAGCCCAGGTTGGACCCATTAGGGTTCAGCTGACTCTCTGCCTGAGAACACAGGATGGGCAGCATATAAGGACATCTGTCTCTCTTCCCAGCCCATTCCCACTTATGGAAACCTTACTGTATGCAACAGAACTGGACATCATTTTTGCCAGGCTCTGCATATCCACCCTCTCATTTAATCTTCACAGTACCCCTCTGAGGTAGGTGTTTTCTCTGTGAGGTCATAGGCAGGGCAGAGAGGGCGGGAGACTTGCCAACGCATGCCCAGCAGGACAGAATTAGGACCTTACCTTCTGTATTCAGAGAAGAGATTAGAGGCTTGAGTGTGAAGAAGGAAGACGAGTGGGTCACTCTTTCAGTCGGGAAGGGGGACACAGGCTCAGGAAAAGTGACCCTGTGAATGAATCAGCTCTGGGAACAGAGACAAAGTGGCAGGAAACTGTAACTGTTTTCCACATGGAGCCCTATCCTTTGCCATCAGCCCTACCCTAAGGCCTCTCCCAGCTCAGTACTTCAAGATTAAGTACTTAGCACTCCCGGGACTCAGAAATGTCTAGGAGGGTGGGACATCCTGCCCTGGTTGGACTATATCTACAGTTTCCACCCTTTGTCTCACCTGGACCACCTCCAGCGTCGGCTTCGTAGCTCCTCGGCCAAACCAGACAAACGTGGGCTTTCAATCACTCT